TGAAATCTATCTTAAGTTATTACAGAAATATAAGAAAAATTAGAAGAAACTTATTTTTCATTATCCCTGACATTGGAAGGTCTTATTTCGACTTCTAAAATCTCCTATTAAAATTTTTCCCAGGGATGGACAAACACCCTGTATATCCGTTTTTTTTTTTAATCTGAAGTGCTTTATTACATTTTGAAAGATTTAGGTAGTCTATAAATTCTCTGTTTGAGATAGAGTATTGCATGTCCATGCACATTCACATATACATGCTACACTTTCTAGCCTGTCTAGAGACAGCGCGACTTGAACGACAGTTTAGCTTCCAAGAAGTAATATCACGCCATTTTACTGAATGTTATCGTATTATTGATTTTTACTAAACGAACTAATCCACGCGAAGCTTTGGATAATGGGATAAACACAAGCGATAACGATATTCGCTGAGATAACGTAATATTATTTCTTGGAAATTAAACCGTCGATCAAGTCGCTACTTTGTCAAAGATGTCATTTTGAGATATATAAAATATTTCCAAAATATGAAAACATTCGTAATAAAGTGGGGCATTAAAAGCGAAGAAAATTCATTTTGTGAAAATATTCTTATAATGAAAAATTTGTTCACAAATATCTAAATGAACATATAGTGGACATTATTTAACGTGATTTTTTGTATAGTCCCGGGCCACGATATAGCGAGGTCGTAAACTAAACTCTTGAGGGTTGGGACCGACTACTGCAGCGCCACTTACGGCCGTACGTGACATCTTGCTTGAGGGCGCCTTTCTGTGTCCGTAACTGCACTACTTTTTTTCATTTTCTACGTGCATATATTATAAGCAGGTAAAATAAGATGTTCAAGATTTGAGTAAGACCTTTACCTGTTACGATACCTCTACAAATGACGACACTGGATGAAACATTTCTTCGTACGGCCTTGACTATGGCTCAAAGCCCTTAGCTGCTCGTATTTTTGTCAATTCACCTGTTCCAGTGTAACTTTGACACCTTCTCGAGTTTGCGACCTCGCTGTATCGTGGCCCGGACTATACCTGTTAGCGTCAATTTGTATTTAGAGGTGACGCATGCGTCGTAGTCATTGAACTCTCGGGGACCTATGTCGTAAGAGACCCAGGTTGAACCTCTTGGCACTTATCTCAAAACCTTGAGCGAGAGAACGTCTCCATTCCTTAAAGTTTATTCAAATTTCCAACATCACCATTTGTTAATTTTGGACACATTTTAAAGTAGTCGATATCAATATAATCTGAACCAAAAATTTCCATTTATAATTATCTTGCTTTTTGAGATTGAACGACTAATAGAATTAAGTGTGACCTAGTACAAATTTAAATTACATGTGTTAGGAGTGGATGTAGTCTAGGGATAATCGTCGGAGCTATGATGTATAGGCTATAGGCGGGAGGAGTATGAGCGTGGATAGAGGAGATAGGGGGTTGGTTGGGTTCGACACGGGAACGCGTCGAGCACGTGCGTGCGAGGCAGTTTGTTGGGTATTTGGTGGTTAGAGTTGCTAACAGTAAGTGGGGGATGTGGGAGGTTTAAACAATAAATACCATAACATACGAAACGATGATTTTGAGTTTTACCTAAATTAATACGTTCCATTTTCATTTAATTTTTTAATTACGAGCTCGGCGGAGTATTTGTTTTATAAAGAACGAAGCCTTAACGGGAAAAAGAATTGACTCCTACCAGCTGCTACTGGGTACGTTATTTGATGAAAGCATTGTGTCGTTACGCGGTCGCTCTTGGTGTCGGGTTACGCTCGCTGTGTTGTGATGCCAAGTCAACGAGCATTCCTTCGTTTTCTTCGAAATGCATCGGAACGTTACATAAAGAAAAAGCTTGTAAACTCGTGCATTATCACTTTGAATGATCTTGTATAAACACGAAATGATCTTGAGAAATTTACACCCATGGTATCCCATGATACCTACAGCGCATAAGATACTGCGCACCATTGTACCAATTTAACAGTTGAGCGAAGAAATCGCAGCGGTCCAAAACAAACTAATACAGTATTTCCGTCTTAATCAGTCAAGGGAAAATGCAACTTGTACGTTTTAAACGCGTTGAGCAAAATTAAGTAATTCGATTTATCTGTTGCTATTTATTTTTATAATTAAATATTGTTTAAAAAATTAGCTTCTTTCTTACTATGCAGGAATCTGTGTTTTAGCTCTGGTTTGATCACGTCTTGTTAGCGTGCAACAATATGCATAGATATGTATTTCCTGCCAATTCTCGTTGAACTAGTGCATACAATGCCCGTCAGCATCAGCGACAATGTTGCGTCTGCTCTATAGCCAACCGCTTCTCTCGTGTTTTAGAAACACATCGGTGATTCGCAGTAGTTTAGTTCAGGGCGGATATTTGATGGTGACGTAGATGTCGCACGAATACGTTCCAATAATGAAACTGTTTGAATTTTTGAATATTTGTAACGATTACGACAAATTACTAAACATTTTAATTAAACAGAGGGCAATGTAAAATTTCTTTTAACTCTGTAACGACACATAGAAATTGTTTGCTTAATTCTTAGAGACACATCTTTTGTTAATTTTCGTATACTAGTTTTGGGACGAGTTTTAATTTTCCTCGCTGTTATACCGCTCATCCCTTTCACTCATTATTTTTTTTCTCCCGCGTCCTACTTTATTGTGCAGTGTTCCTGCATTTATAATTATCAATAATTTTCTATAGCGCTGAATAAGCGTTCTTTATTATTCGAACAATACGTTTTGAAAAAACTGATACTTAGTGTTTGGAAGCAGACGGGCGACAGGCAAAGAAATAAATTAGCAAAAATTAATACTTCATAATACTTTTTTACGCGTTACCTGGATTAAGCATTATAGGACAGAATTGGAAAAAATAAAAAGTGATTAAAAAAAAGGTGGACAGAGGAAAAGAGGCTCGATGATAAATAGAAATTAATTCAAAATGGAAAGAATAAAACTGGTTTATTTAACTTTTTAATATAACATTGTATTCTTTCAACTATATTAACAGAATCAAAACATTATTACATGACCCAAAAATATTCAGAGTCATTGTAGATTACTCGGATACAGTTATCTTACAATACGATTTCGTTAAGCTCGCGGAATGGTGCTCTGTAAATAGACTCGATCTTAATCACAGTAAATGTTATGTTACGAGAGTAACTCGTAAAAAGAGCAAACTTTTGTATTTACATTCGATTGGTAACATACTTTTATTCATAGCAAACACCATGTATGATTTAGGAATTAATTGTAATAATGAGTTGTTATTTTATTGCAATCATTTTTGGTGAATAGACATACCCCCGAAATAGTGCGCATTTTCGAGAAAAAAATTCGAGGTGTGAAATTTTTCGACGGAAAAATAAAATTTCAAATCGTTTTGGAAAAATTATTTTCGCTTGCGGGGGTCAATTACAATCATTTTTGGTGAATAGACATACCCCCGAAATCTTATCCACTTTCTAGAAAAAAATTCGAGAAGGTGTGAAATTTTTCGACGGAAAAAAAAAATTTCAAATCGTTTTGGAAAAATTATTTTCGGTTGCGGGGGTCAATTACAATCATTTTTGGTGAATAGACATACCCCCGAAATCCTACCCACTTTCTAGAAAAAAATTCGAGAAGGTGTGAAATTTTTCGACGGGAAAAAAAAATTTCAAATCGTTTTGGAAAAATTATTTTCGGTTGCGGGGGTTAATTACAATCATTTTTGGTGAATAGACATACTCCCGAAATCCTGCGCATTTTCGGGAAAAAAATTCAAAACGAGTGGAACTTTAAACGTTAATAACTTTTTAACGAAGCCTCCATCAACAAAATGATATTCTTGATTTTCGTCTTATTTTGGGTTGGCCGAACATCCTGTATATCGATTGTACAGCACTCTCTGAAAGGGTGAGATTTTATGTGTTATATGAAAATTTGAGAAGTCATTTACCCTATCAGGGGTCTGGGTTAAGTACCCGTGGGGTTCACCGCGATCCTTTTGTTAAAAAGGTGACTTCACCTTCCCCACTCTGTAGCCAGATCCTCGAGTTAAACTCTTATCATATTCCACGAAGCATCGATGACTGTCAAGTCACGTGGTCCTGCACATGGTCCTTTGGCGGCTGGTAACAAAGCGTCGGGCTCCTTGCTGTCATCCCAAAATCACAACATCAGCGATACTCGCATAGAATCGCAGTGACACACCGGCGCGGCGGCGCCACTCGAATCGAATCTAACATCGACATGTTTATGGTGGTCTGGCTCCCCGCGATACAAGATTCTTAAGAAACGGCCTATGTCATTTGATACCGAAACACGTGCGTTTCCTTTCTTTAATTGACGTTGAATGATTCTCCTCGTCCCTTGCATAATCCTTTTAAAATTCTTTTAAATTGATTCCATGGAGACCTTTAAATACTCGGTTAGGCATTACTTGCCTAACGACTGTTAATCTAAGGTTTATATTTATTTTGTATATTATTTATATCGTATTATGTTTGGCATTTACTATTGGTTTTGTAATAGAACCAAAGAACAAAAGAAACAAACTACAAGAGGTAATCTTGTTTAGATGCAATTGTATTGTATTTTTTTTTAATGATCGAAATAAAATTTTGTCGCAATTTCTTTCAATTAGAGTATTTGCTTCTTTGTAGGTCAGAAAGTAAGAATGCTGACACGCGTCCGCGAAGGTAAGCGAACGATGGTAGTTGGGAAACGCGTCTAACGAATGTTGCTTACCGGCAATAATTCGGATTTTAGTTGTACCGAGAGCGAGAAGGAAAGCCTCACGCTCGCCCTCTTTCTCGATTGCCCGAAGTCGCGCGAAGTTGCACGAAGTCGCGCGAGCTCGTGTACACGCGATTCACGCAATAGTACGTGTCCGCTTTCCCCACCAGTCCGCTAGGAGGTAGAGCAAATCCATCGTTACTATTGCTGTTCCCAATGCACTCGATTCTGGCCGCACTGTATAAAGGTTCCCGAATGCATCGTAATTTTCTATTCGGCGACCGACACTGGTCGCAATCGTTTGTTGCTATCTTTAACGAGACTTTGACGTTCGCTTACGGAAAGGTGGCCGGATCAGTCGACTTTGCATCTAGTATTTCGTACTTTAGTTCGATACAGGCGACCTTCGAAGATCACTCGAAGGTGGACTTGTATCCTGTAGAAATCGTTCCTTTGTTCCGCGTAAGGTAAAGAGCCTTTGTCCGTCGAGATGCCTATTTGCAAGTGCGAGGACCGCCTAAACGGAAAGGACCACACGTGCCAGACGAGGCCTTCCGTCGAAAATACCGAATGCGGGGAAGAGACCAAGGTGTACGATGAAGCGGTTAGGTATGCTTGATTCTCTTGTGTTTTGTCCTTTATAGGGGCACAAGAAAGAGAACCTTGGGATAGAAATTGCGTTCAAGATCAGTTGCAATTAGATCGGTGGAATGTACTTCCTCGAATACTCGAGTTCTTTCCCGTGACAAACGATTCACCTTTATCGTAATTTTGCGAGTTGTATTAAATTAAATTTACGAACATTCACTGCATATATTTTTATTTATGTTGACGACTGCATTAAAATTCCGTTTCTTTTTAATTAAGATATGTATTTATATCGTTGTGTCAATCAGATTCAACGTAAATTGTTACTAAATAGTATTTATGAGATCTGTGACTGTAAGCGGAGATTTTAAAAATCCGTCAAATTGACAGGTTCCGTATGCCCAATGTTAAAATCTCTATTGGTAGGCTGCGGGATGTAAGAATTTTTATTAAATTTTGTTTCCAAGAATGCGTTGACGCAAGTGAAATGTGTGTTTACATATTGCCCGTTTGCGCTGGCCTGCTGGGAATAAAGTTTAGCGCATGCGCGACTGCTGAAGACAAAAATGTCGTAATTGAGGGATTCTTTCCAATTAGTTATGTACTAATTTTCAAATTTTGTTATCATAGTTTACACGTTTATAAAAACGCTTTATAAGTAATTTTATAAAATAATGTAGTCTTTTGAATAAGAATATTGGCAAGCCTAGAAGGAAAAAATTGAGTGGACATTTTTATTTTTTCTATATTTTACAATTTTCATTTTCTTTTTATGTTTTTGCCTACTTCTAAACATTTTCTTTGATCGTGCTTCTCGTTATACTCTCTCACGAATAAACAATTACTTTAGAAACTTTTAAAATAACAACATGACAATGACAAATAAATGTTTTTTTTTTTTAACATTCAATTGTAACTTTTTAAACTAATACCCTTTAAATGAAAAACAATGACAGGATTTGCGTGGAGCTTGTAACAATTTTATTTAATTTTCTCACCTAATTATAAACCGTATATGTGTTACGAAATTGTAATCATTGATACATACTTTTTACAATTACAGTGACATAATTATATATGTTAGATTTTAATGAATTTATTGTGCAACAATATAATACAAAGCACGCGTACAAAACGCGTTTCGCCACGCGCGCGGTACAAAAGAAAAACCTCGCCCTTTTCTCAACAGCGCGTGTTACTCCGCCGGACGCTACGACCAGAAGCGCGGGGAACCCCCGGACTCTCACGAACAGCCGCGAATCTCCCAGACAAAAGACACTCGTCCCGAGGCGGCGCCTTCGGGGCATGCACGTGCGCAATAACCCAGTGATTAGCGCGCCAAAATTCAACACTCCCCCTTAATCTTTAGGGTTAATGCGCTCACAATAATTTTTCAATCCTAGTCGCTCAACGCATTCACCATGCTTCATTTTTGATAGTGCTTTCGTTAGTATGTCCGCAGTCATCTCGCTGGTAGGTACATACTTTACAATTATTTCGCCTCGCTCTTGAGATTCTCGGGAAAAATGATACCGAATATCTATATGCTTGCTCCGCGCGTGATACACACTATTTTTAGACAACTGTATTGCACTCTGATTGTCGCAATAAATTTCAGTCGCTTCTTGTAATATATTATAGTGTCGTATGTTATTTCTTTGGCTGTTAAAATTAAAAAATTAAAATTTTTCGGATTCCATTCATCAACTAAAAGATTCGTATATTTGTTACTTGATTTTCATAACTTGTATAATTAGAAATAGTCCAAACCGGATGAAAACCGGAAACTTCATGAATTTATTAATAATATTGTTATGGAGATATTTGGAGAAATATAAAAATGATAATTTTCATATATGAATGACGGTATCTTATTTGCGTGGTTTATTGCTTTTAGATGCAAACTGCTGATAGTTCGATGATAATATTGTTGATAAAATGGTCAACTCGATTTCAAGATATGTTAAGAAAAGTCGATACCCGGAATTGAGTAGTCATTTTCCTCGGTTGTACATATAACCCACCTATTTCTGTTATACAGGGTGCCCCAGTTTAATCGAATATTGTGAATTATCCGATATTTATTATTTTTTAATCAAAAATTTTTTATTTATTTTTATTATGAATTATTTGGATTCGAAAAATGTTTCGGATAAAAAACGAATAGTTTCCAGGGGCCACCTAACTTGGACAACTCAATTATTTTCAAAATTTTCAAATTTAAAAATTTTTTTTATTATGGTTATAATTTCGAAAGACTTTGAAGGTGATGATATTTAATTTCTCTTTATGTCTCCTTTTTAAATTATTTTCAAACACACTTCCTTTTTTTTGGTTATGTTAGGTGGTCCATTTTGTATATTTTTTATCGTGTCTCGAACTATCGATATCGAAAATTCATTAGTTTAGAAGATATTTTAACCTCAATATTTAGATAGTCAGTGAAAGTGATTTTTCCTCAAGATTGAATTGATAATCATATATAATTAAACGTTAATTAATTTTTTTTTATTTGCTATAGAAATTTGTATTTACAATTGCAATTAATGTTTGACTTCTCAATTCTTTGTTAGAGTGCTTGATTGATTAATTAAAAATTTAATCCTCAATATTGATTAAAAATCATTGAATATCCGGCAATTGATACCATCTACAAAAACAAAATATAAGATAATAAGAAATCCCAATACGTGTGAAAGTGTCATAAAAATTTCTACAAAATAATCGCATTGCCATTACACGTTAATTACACGGTTCATTTAGAATTATGATTACACAATAATTACAATTAATTGTAGAAGTAATCGTGTCGAACGTAATCAGATCTTGACTATACACGTTGAACGCAGTTAACAGGTTGTGATTTCGAAAGAATAATACCTAGTCCGTTCTAATATGTTTTGATGCTCGAAGCTCGACTCGATCCAATATTTTCGCATTGATAAAAATCTAAAAATATTTATTTCAAATGAACGTCCAATTTGTCTGCAAATATGACTTGTATGAGTTTAATAAAATAAATATTGTGCAATCGTTGGTTTCGACGGGTTCGAAAATCACGCGCGATTAACCATAACCTCTTTTCATGCATTATACATGCATTATATAGATATTCATAATGCAGGTCACCGATTTTTAAACTTTGTCCACGGTTAGTGCACATAATGAATAGTAACATAGTAAATGAATCTCACCGTTCAATATATTTAAAGAAAATAATTTTTCACGTTTTCATACTGTATTCACACATTTTTACCATTTTTGTTTCTTTTCTTATGATTACTCAATTAAATTGGTAATTTACAATTGTACGGCTATTAAACTGTATTAATCTGCTTTGCGTAAAATAGTTGTAATTTTACTTTTTCCACAAAAATTATTTGATTTGAATTTTTCTAGTATTTTTCTAATAACTGTAAATGTGAATGTAGAATATGAGAAACGGAACATTATACATGATCCATTTGAAGACCCCAAGGTAAAGAACTCTCGATAAGTCTATTTTTCCGATTTCCTGTTTTTGGAACCACGTTTATTGGAAACTTTCTAACTTTCTAAAAAAATATGGAATATTAAAACTGTATACGTAATACGAATCTTATCGGTGACCCGCGTTACGCAAATAAGTCACATAAACGTCACATGCATTTTAGCGACGAAAATAGTACGTTGCGTTGTTGGACAAATAGTAAACATCTTTAACGATGCACTGTACCTCGCGATAGTTTCTTGTTTACTCGGTTTCGCAACACTATTAGATAAACTCACAAAGGTGGTTTCCTACCTTCCGAGTCAATCTGATATTCTAACCTCAAATTTCGCTTCGAAAAGTTGGCCAAGTCCAAGTTCAAAAGACGTTTTATTCGAACAAGCTAATGAATATATGAATATCGAAATATGTGCCTTCCTGATAAAAAATAACGACGATCTCGAAAAAAGCTATGAGAAACAGTATTCCTCCTTTTGATACCATTAAAAATAAAGGAGATATTTAGGTGGACTTTTTTGGTCGAAACACTCTATATGTGACTTCAAAGTTATTGTTTATGTGTAATTCTCGTGTAATTTTAGTTTAGTATTATATTTCAAATTTATTACGCTCTCATACGCATTGGTAATAATAAACGAAAGTCTGTTTCCCCTAGTAATTCGCGATCTTATTATCTGGTAATAAAGGCAGCTTCGATCACACGTTTTTCTAATGACAATTGGTTAAAAGTATCAGTAAATAACAAGAATGTGCTTGTACACGACGTGAAAATATATTCTTGTTTACAAGATAGAAATGGGCAGCACTACAAATTTGCAACGCGAATAAATTTTTCTATTTTTTAAGACTCGATTGTTTTTTTCGTATTTTCTCAGATACAGAGATGGATCCGTACGGCTTCGAAATCCAAACATCGAGCTCATGGATCAAGATATTCTGTATCATCTTGCCCTAGGCAGCGGTTCCAACGATCTCGTGGAGATGTTCGGCGACGTAAAGGTAAATGAAAATACAGTATATCTTTTACGTGCCTTGCTTTTTCCTCTCGGAATTAGGGTGAACAAATTGACTAACTATTAGGTCATCCCATAAGTTTCGTCCCGTTCGTGCCGTTCGTCCTTCTTAGACTGACGAGGATAAAATTCGTGATATGATAGAACTGATGTTTTATGGGTTAGATAGGAAACACACGCGTACACGAAACTGAAAGAACGTTTATTGTTACGATAGGAAAGAAATAAAGATGTAAGAAACACAAAAATAAACTGCCGGTTTCGCGTCTCGTGTTAGCACGTTGGTGCCTTGTAACTAAGTGAAGTTGCGAAGCGGAAGCCTCCGTAAAACAACGCTTAAGGGCGCTACTGCGCTGTTCCGCTAATCGCGGATTATCGGCGGGAATTCCGACGAGAATAAAAACGAAAAACGTTCAGGGAATGTCTGATTTTTTTAAAACGCCAACGTAAACGATCTTAGAAATTTGAAGAAAAATGAATAATATAAAATATATGAATCAAATATTATTTTTAATAATATCGAACCTCGAAGTATGTATATGTTTTACATTAGCTTATGGGTGGAATCTACTATTTAATCGTATGACAGTATTGTGCTCGCATATGAGAAAAAAAAACTTCTCCTAAAGTACTTATTAACTATTAAAAAATTATTGCATCCCTGGTTTCGAAATTTAGAGGACTTTTGTTTTAATCAAACTGCGTAAATTTCATGTGAAAGTCACAACAAACAAATATTATCTTTATTGTATTGTATGCATGGAATAGATAACGCATTACGTATTGCGCATTTTCTATCGCATCCCGCAGAAATTCGATTGTGTTTTATTATTATGTGGCTTTTATCGTCCTTCCATTTCCGTATTCATTCTAATAGCCTTGCTAATAGTTATCAACTAGCGAGTGATCTAGTATCTCGTATCAAAATTCCAAGAATAGTTTATTATTAACATATTTTATCCTAAATATTTGCAGTTTTAAACGCGTTTGTAATTTCGTTATATTCTCAAACATTTTTCCCATTTAAACGTGCGATTTTCATAATTTAGCTACAATAATTTCGTAATTGAAAACTTTTCAAAAACAACAATGTAAGTGCCAAGAATCTAATTTCTCAAGAGGAAGGGAAAATATTTCTGGCATTGGATTAGTAAAAAAGTTTGATATATTTTACAATTCTATTAGGAGGTATTGCAGAAATGTATTTTACCATACATACAGGGTATCAGGCCAACCCTGGGAAAAATTTTAATGGGAGATTCTGGAGATCAAAATAAGACGAAAATCAAGAATACCAATTTGTTAATTTAGGCTTCATTAAAAAGTTATTCACGTTTAAAGTTCCGCCTGTGAGAACCACTATCACGCGCTACAGGCGACACTTTAAACGTTAATAACTTTTTAACGAAGTCTCAATCGACAAATTGCTATTCTTGATTTTCGTCTTATTTTGGCCTCCAGAATGTTCCATTAAAATTTTTCCCGGGGTTGACGGAACACCCAAAATCTTGCAAAAAAGACTGTTAATTATTAACAAGAACTAAATGGTATTACTGTATCTAGTAACCTTAAAATGGACTTGAAAATTGTAATTTCGACGAAAAATTCCTGGCAGAATATTTGCGAAGTTTTCAAACTTTTTGATAGTCCCCCACCCTAAAAATAAAAACTTTCTGCTCTTGAAATTTGTAGACCACGAATTTTGTTTATATATTTAGTTCCATTAGTAAACATGAAAAGTAATTTGAAGAAAGCATTTGAATTAATTTAAGTACCTGCAAAATGTCTGTCCCAAGCAATTTGTCCCAAGAACAAACGTAAGTGGACAGATAACGAAAACTTAATATAAAATGATTATCATAAATAGCTAGAGCAAAACTGATTCGAATGCACGATTAATGAATATGAAATAAGGGGAATAAGTAATGTCAGTTTATGTTTAAATTATATTCAAGTAATATACGCAGTAACGTAACGTTATGTAATTCGTTAAATATTTATACAGCGACCAGTTGCAGCGACGCTGTTTATCGTCAACGAAAACCGCGTCTACAATGCATTCGCGGCAATGTATCAATGAACGTTTTGCCATTAAAAGAGAGTACGGTATTTCGTGACCTAAATAGGACAATACTCTAACATTCTGCGCCCGTTTCTCAATTATATGTATAGGGCTGGTAATCCTCGAGGTATTATTTCGTATCGCACGGATTCCTATTGTCTATTCCACGTAAGAAAAGAGGAATTCCGTTAGAATTATATTTCAGTTTTATTCGATCCACGATACATTTGAATGTTCCAGTCTGACACGTTTCTGAAAAATTCCCTTATTTTGTTCATTTTGTTTATTTTCTTATAGCGTAGAAACTTGAAAATATACAAATGATACGACCCTAAACCAGACCTAACCCTTTTAAAATCTAATTTTCGAGTTAAGGCCAGAAAATATTGGGAACTGATGTACAAATTTATTCTCAAAAGAATACAAACAAAATGACTACTTAAGAATTATTTACTTTTTTGACAGCGAATTAATTGTCGCACGCGGCCACTTGAGAAATTTGTGGCGCCAAAGTAGTGCACGGTAATGATTCCGCGCGCGATTTGAATATAATACTTAAGAAATAGAATAATAAGAGAATGCAGAGATAAAAAGAAACTAAAAAAAGTGAAAAATGAATTTCAATGCGTTATTGCTTTATATGCTATAAAGATTGTGCAAACTTATTTAATAATTACTTTTGTATTGCAAGTCACGAAAAAAAAATTAAACAAATATTTTTATAAAACGAAGTCTTATATGAAAGTTTCTTCCATGTACCGTGTGGAATAAAAATTTGTAGATAAAAATATAGATTTCTATTTAAAAGAAACTAAAAAATAAGTCTTCGAATAACCTTAGAAAGGCTCAAGAAATAAACAATAAAATAAGATAGTTGTATATCACCCTTGAAACTGAGAGAGTTTTGAAGAACGATTTTTATTTGTTCGTTGCTGAAAATTTTGCAAAGTTTTGACCGTGTCGTTAATCGTTGTTCGTTTTAATTTTTACAGTTCGTGTGCATGGGTGGAACCCCAAAACGGATGGAACAATTCGCTTATTACATTATGAAGGAAATAGGTCACAAGCTTCCAGCTGGAACGACGCTTCTTGACATTAGCCGGTATTCGTACCGGTACTCTATGTATAAGGTCGGGCCTGTACTTTCCATTAGTGTAAGTATACCTTCTTTTTACAAATTAATAACTAATAGTTTATAACAGCGTTGCTTAACTTCGGTGTTTTAAACGTGGCGTGATCGTTCAAAAATTTTAATTTCAATTTATTCGAACACGAACCCTTAAATGTACTAATGTATGAAAAAAAATGGACCAATACCAGTTTCAGAAAAAAACAACGATTCGATTCGTAAGAAACAAGTTTTTTTTTCATTTATAGTGAATTACTGTTGTAGTATACGAATACAAATGGGAGTGTGTAACTGTATGTAGTTTTGATTTCGACCATTTTTGTGTACTTTTTGAGGTTATCTCTTTTAAACCTTTCTTCGTTAGGAGTTGGTTTCCCTCGTAAAATAAAAATGTGGCACAAATCAATTTCGGCTAAAATCTTAGGTGTAATCAATATTCGCGGAGAATTGCATAAAAATCGATGGTTATCAGCTCCCTTATTAGTAAATTACGTCTGTCAGCGTTTGACAGATCGCGAAGACGTCAGCACCTAACCTTTCTTTTGTTGGGATTTGTTAAGTGTTGTGTGAGTACCCAAAAGTTTGATTGATAGAATAAATGAAGTTAGTTGTTAAGCTTTTACGAACAGAAAAACTATCCATTTTATAACGATATTTGTGATTGGTGGAATTGTAAATATTTATTACTTGTTATGATTTTATTTGTACATGTCATCAGCAGTTCAGATCAACAGTAAGAGAGCTTGTAATATTGCATTGAAAAATTTTTTATAGTCTAATAACTATTGTAGTGTCAAAGAATTGAAAAAATAAAATTAATATTTTTCAGGCATAATAAATGCAATGAAAATAAATATTTAATATTTCTGTATGCAAGGCTCTTTGAAATCTATCTACAACCCTCCTAGAGCTAAGAATCAGGTTAAGAACCACTGGGGTAGCATAATTTTTGCTTACAAGGTGGGAATATGGATAGGATGAGAGCTATTGTGTTCAAAACTAGACTTAAAATGTAGAACATGATAAATTTGATACATCCTAGAGTAGTAGCCACTTGCAAACTGATTTTAAACGTTAAAATCTAGTTGTCCTATTAATTCCAACTGAATTTAATAGAAAAAGATAATATCAGTAATCTGTGGAATTTTTTATAAGAACTTTCTTTTTCTTACATTTTTACTTTCACTCACAAATATCGTTTATAAATTAAAATCTATTAACAAATTATTTAAACCAATATTCTGATGAGAAAAGTAAAAGCTATGTTTCTAAGTTCCTTTATGTAATGTATAATTATCTTTTATTTCAAGATTAGTTTCAGTACTTTCTCTTCTAATATCTATTGTTAGCGATCCGCGTAAAATCTGTTTAAAATGAAGGTCACGTTATAATCTTGTAAACTATACTTTAGTTAAATACACCGTCGCGTTATTTATAACAATGTAACCTTGTAACGCTATACAATTTTACGCATTACGTGATCGATAAGTTTGCCCATTTTTAAACAGTACACGAACTAAATACTTTCCGCTCGAATTTATCGCAAAATAACGATTCAAACGTTAATCTGTTCAAATCGGATGAAAGCTAAGTCAATGTTCGCGCTGTCCATTGCAATCCCTGAATCAGCTTTAAAATAGGCTAGATAGAAATACATACATACGTGTGTTATGAAAGAATAATCCATTTACTGCTATTTCTATCATCCGTATCAATTTTTGATTTCATAAAATATATTATACAATTTTTTTTATTAATGGGTGTTCGGCCACCTGGGGAAAATTTTAATGGGGGATTTTAGAGGCCAAAATAAGAGGAAAATCAAGAATACTAATTTCTTGATGGAGGCTTCGTTAAAAAGTTATTAACGTTTGAAGTTCCACCTGTAGAACGGCAATCTGTGAACAGCTGCGCACGCGCGATAGTGGTTCTGACTCACAAGACTGTAAGGCTGTCGCGACGTCAGTAGAGTTTCTCGACTCGAGTGAGAACCACTCTCGCATGCACGCAGCACTCAAACCCCGTCTGGGTTAGATTATACTGATTTGCATGGCTTTTTCTGTCAAAAGACCTTGCTCTTTATACAGAGAAAGCGTAGGATTCTTAAAAAAAATCGACACATTTCGATTCTTTCTAACGTTGCGTCCACTTATTTACGAATTTACGTTTATATAAGTATTTTAATGCATTTTTAATGGTCATCTTTGCTCCTTTTGAGTGATGGCACAAGAACACCGCTTCAAATTGTTTGGTACACGCAGCACTCATCTTGAGAATGTCAGTATTTCTTACTGTTCGAGAAAGTATATTAAACGTTCGTTCGTTTTTTCTGTTTAGCATGGAATGGGCATCCCGTCGGTTGGAATTCTCCTCCACGAGATGATCAAGCTGATGTATCACGCGAAAGTGAAGGATCCGATATTCTTTAGGATCGGTACTTGCGGTGGAATCGGCATCGAGGGCGGTACAGTTGTAATTTCCGAAGAAACGGTCGATGGAATGCTGAAACCCTACTTGGAACTGGTAAGAGCTTCTTATTGAAGTTGTAAAACGGACCGCTAGGTGGCAGGTAAATGCAACATGTATTTACAAAGAAATGCTTGCATCTAAACGGTGTACCATTAGACTCGACATTCTTAGATCGACGAGGATAAAATACAAAACAATTTGAAATCATGCGCAAATGTAGTTCAAGTAATTCTATTAATGAAACAATTTTTTGTTCCAGCAATAAAACGAATTTTAGGACGAAGAAACATTATCTTAAAGAAATTATTACCTTTCATGTTACCACGAATATTTTTATGATTTTTCATACCTTATCTAGCAGTAAAAAATTGTAAATAAAATATCTATCGACGAACAAATTTATTTTGCAGTCTGTGCTCGGGAAAATGGTGAGAAGGCCAGCCAAGCTCGACCGGCAATTGACTCACGATCTGAAGGCTTTAGCCCACCGCGACGATCCTTACGACACCGTGGTCGGCAAAACTATGTGTACTTACGACTTCTACGAAGGACAAGGTCGACTGGATGGCGCGTTTTGCGAGTTCTCGGAGAACGACAAAATGGAGTACTTGACCAAGCTACACAAAAGCGGGATAGTAAATATAGAAATGGAAAGTCTCTCGTTCGCAGCTCTCACCCATCATGCTGGCATCCAATCCGCTGTCGTCTGCGTGTCATTGCTCGATAGATTGAAGGGCGATCAGGTTCGTAGCCTAAATAAAACATGTCTACGAATTTAGAGTCGAGTCGTAATTTCAGAATTTTAAAAAAAGAACAAAATTTTTATTTTCATAAAATATCGAATATTATATAGGATTGGGGTCTATGCAACTTTTGCATCTCTATAATTTCCAAAGTATGCATTGCTAAAAAAAAAGTTGCATGGTTTGAAAGGGTTACACTCTTTTTAGTGCATTTGTCTTTTTTTCATAGACAAAGACGTTTCTTATACTTTTTATATTAAAATATGAAAGCATATCAAATTCTAAACAAAAAGGTGTTGGTCTGTATTAGTCCTGAACCTAATAACTACATAAAAATAATCAAATATAATATTGAGGATATCAATGATATATTTTTATCATATCTGACATATTTTCTCTTGTCAATTAAACAATTAAAGAGTGCATAGCTGTTCATAGACCATCCATTGGCACTGATCCAGTCCTGCCTATAACGTACATTTGACAAGTGCATTCACATTGTGAATCACGCTTGAATAATTCATTTTAAAGCTGTTATTTTGCACGCAGGTGTTGGCACCGAAGGAAGTCCTGGACGAGTGGCAAATAAGACCGCAACAATTGGTCTCCCGTTACATAACGAGATACCTTCAACGAAAAGGCCGCCTCTCCCTCGAAGGTCATGGATCGATGTACGTCAAGAATCCACGTCGGTTCAAACTGGTGCAACAAGAATCGGAAAACTACGATTAAATTTACGTCGCGCCGAGTAAAAGTTTTGCAAAGAGGCCCCTACTTTTGCATGTATGAAAAAAAAAGATGATTCTTTTCGAAGAGGTTACATGCAAACGATATAAAGTACGTTAAAAAGTACATGCTTGTGCTTTATACGCGAAGAAATATATAATTTGGAATGTAACGCGGAGGTCTTAATTGTTGTTTTGGTATAGTAGATGAAATGCTTTACAATGTATTTGTTTTACAAACTTTCGAGGCTATATACTTACGTCAGTATTTGAAACGTTCAAGTTTTTGTTAAGTTTTATAACAATTGCGAGAAAGAAGCTCAGAGAATCACAAACCTCATCAGTTCTACCATCGCAATGTGGTAATTAAGTACAAAGCAATCAAGGTATTCGAACTATACATCGCCCAGGCTATGAGAATCATATTTAACGACCATACTTGGCCACATATCTATTGTCCGTGGATTTCTGGAAATTCTTATTTTAAACGGTGATTATAGTTATATGCGAAGCGTTCGTATATTCTTCGACCAAGGAAACCCCAATTATTTAAAATATGAAAATATCGTGACGATTTTAAAAACTTTTGAGTGTGGAGTGTTCTGCGATGTATCTATGAATAATTTATTGTAGGCCTGGGTTGCTCGCGGTTCATTTTAATTTTTATGAAATCAATATATCATTGAATTTCGTTTCAGGAATGTATAAAGTACTTATTCAATAATATTAACATTCTATGTATTAGTGAAGACGAGTAGTATTTAGTAGTACATTCTAAATAGTTTAGGTAATAATGTATGCTTTTGTTTAGCCTTCGTTTGTGGTGTGATTGAGACTCGTATACATGTATATCATATTATACTGCAAAATTCGTGCGATGGACACGTCATATCTAAAATTGAGATTGGATTAGGAATTTGAAAAATAACATAGCGAAGTGATGTGGTATTTACTTCCGTCTTAAACATTCCATTGCCCTAAAACTTTGTTCTTAAATAGCGAACTTGAAAAATAAGTAGAACCAATGAAATTAATTCCTTAATCCTGTCTCAACGTTACAACACAGTACAGTTTTGTGGCCGATGAAATTATTAAAATTATTGGCCATAAACCCAGTTGCGATTTCCTTTCCACGAAGAAACCAAAACTGGACGTGATACTTTGTAAGAAATTAAAGTAGAGAAGTTAAAGTAGTTAACGTTATTAAGCGGTTTTGGGCTTTATTCGTAAGGATTCCATGTTATATATATATTTTTAAACCGTGTGTTTTTGTATCTTAATACAGTTTGTTGGTTAAATTATATGTCGACTCTTGTTGCGGAATAAAGGTAAGAAATCGATTAAACTAACAATTATTGGATATCTAAGTATTACTTTAAGCACAATCCTATAGAATATTATTCCATTAGCGTTTCTTGCTTCTGACAACAATCTTACTTATTTTCTGAGAACAAGAGTTTATCATAACATTATAATAATGTTGTACGACTTTTATTGATTACGTAGGTATTAAATATTATTATTTCGCAAATAAGTAGACAAAGTTGGATCGTAACACTGTCCGACAAATTGAAATTTCTTTTTTCTTTATTTTTTGGTTTTCAATAACCATTGGGTGATTCTCCACTTGACTATTACAAAAAATATCAAATATTATGTATTTACACAAAGTTATACATAACTTTGGCCCTGCTGGAGTGTGGACGGTTTCTTCTTCAGAAATGTTTACAAAATCCAAAATTAGACAAAGTTTTCTAGATAAAAATACAAAAATAATGCGGAGGAACTACTCTTTCAAATTTTAATATTAATTTATAAACAAAACAATTAATAAATTGTATACCACTATATTTGGAAAACTTACCTCTATCTTTTAAGACTAATTAGAACCGTCCTGCCAGTTTTTACTTTCCATGTGATAACTCATTTTTGTCAAAAATTCTGAGTTTTTCGAAAACTGGGAGTAATACAGCAATTTTTGTTTGGGAGACTCTTGAAGATCACCCAGTAGTTATTGAAAGGCAAAATACGCGTTGGACAGCGTAATGATTACTCGTACCATTTAAAGCAATGGAACAGCAAACATAAGGCATTAAATACATTCTGTAAATGTGTTCAAAGAAAGAAAAAAAAAATTGTATACTGCTCTAACGATTATGCCACACGCATATATGTTGAAATGTTTGACAAACGTTCATTTTACACTCTTGCTATTTAATATTTCGAAAAATACAAAATAACGAACGGTGCATGTATCGATCATAGTGCTTGTTTTCGCGCCAATTTGTTAACGGTCTCGCCAAAGAAAGATCCGATCTTTCCACGTCGATAATTATTAGTAACGATCCAGCGGAACCGTAATAATATGAAAAATGATCGTACGTTGCTCGCGAAGGTATTTTTCTGCTGAAATGATATCACATGCTTGTATATCGATGTTCAACATATGACATATTTATCACGCGGAACGCACAATTGCCTGTTTAATGTTTATTATATAACTTTGCATAAAAGTTCATGGTAACTGTTAAACGTTGTTGGTGTTACAATCATAGTTCAGCCTTGAAGTTCCGCGCGACGGTTCTTCGGTATGTTAATTATATTTTTGTGACAACCAGTTCCCGTGTTGTACTGTGTTTAGTATAGTGTAGCCAGGCATGCCCGAACCAGGTACCAGAGAGAGACAAAATTCTTATCCGAATAAATACTTTTTCCAAATAGCAAATAAAAGATAGACAGCTTTTAATCTTTTACGGGTTATATAAAATGAAATTGCTTCATTGTATAACTGTTCGATCGAATAAACGTTGCAAATGAATCGGTATAACAGTTTTCTTGTCTATTAAATTTTGTCTGTCTGTGATGCACGCTCAATGTGTACGTATTTTAGGAGAAATGTTTGACGGAAGAAACTCGCGACATCGTTGATTTTCTCGGGCATGCCTGATGTAGCTAGTATTATTATACAATTGTACGATACATCTTCATCGAAGTTGTTGAAAGCCAAGAGTAAAATTACCTCCGTACATTTACATTCTCTTTAAAGGAAGAACAGTAGAACTTGAAATCGAGTCTATTTAAAAAATCTGCTCCGAATCAGCTGTACCTCTTAAATAACGATTAAACCAACTAAATTTAATTCAGATAAAATGTTAACTTATAACCCAGGCGTAAAAGGTGGACTCAGAGGGAGTAAAGAAGGAGTAAAGTTTACTGCATATTAACGTTCCAACTATCTGGAGTCGATTTCAATCTTCTGAGAAATGCCTAAACTATACAGATACGTAATTTAAGAATAATAGAACTTACGAGGTTCAAATTATCTTTACATTCGATAGCGCAAACCAAGTGATTTAAGAAAAAGAATGCGTACGTTCTCTTGTTTTATGGGTATAGGTTATGTATGCGTAATTGTTTCATGCAGCAAAATTAGATCGATTACACCGTAACTCTAAAAGAAACCGATTGGATTGATCGAGTAGTTTTGAAACGAGCATTTTCGATTTACCTGTTTCCGAGTTAATAGATAAGCGATTCAATTTACGGCGTTAATCTTACATTTTTATTTTCTATAAACAACGACATATCTGTGATGCGTATTAAGAAATTACGAGAAGTATTACAAGGAGTACCAAATGTTATTATATATACATGTATTAAATTTGAATGGCTCTTCTCGGTCATATACATATACATAGATACATGCCTACGTCGACGCGTCGTCGATAATTATCATCTATTTATTAATATCCAACTATTCTGTGAAATTCGTCACCGTTAATCTATATCTTTTAAATTATCCAATTACTATCTAACCAATGGAACATCATCGAGAAGAAATGTTTAGCGAATGTTCACTACTATTATTCAACTAACGCTGTACTCTCACTGTGAAACCCATTTATTTATATGCAACACTATTTATGGAATACATAATCTGACTCTTCAGAATTATGTAGAATGTTATTTATTGTGCACTATGTTTTAAAAGGACAATAAAAGGAAAATTAATACCATGCGTTCCTTTACATATTTACTAAAGTTACATTTTTTTTCCCTAGAGTATACAATTGCTTGTATTTGATAAAATGAAGAGATGCTTCGCCATGTCAACCGTCGGATGGCCATCCGGGTGATTGGAGGGTACCACACCATCTATCACGAGGCAACGACTACCCTGACTGGTCTCCCGCCCATGGAGCTCCTAGCTTGGAGGAACTGGCAGGTGTACTGGTGCTCCAGGGAGCTCCAGGAGGCTGGGAGGCAAGCGGTCGAGGAGACGAGGCGCCGTACCTAACGGATATACAGGGTAGGGCATTTTAAACAGGTCACCTGAATAATTCGCTTGTTTTTGAAGATAGGAGAAAATGTATTAGACCAAACTTACTTGGTATCGGGGGGGCTCATAATCTGGTATTACCAATTTTTTTGTAGGTGGAGGCGTCAAGGAGATATGAAGGTCAACTCTGTTTTTTTAAATGGAATAGTATGTTTTTTTACTTACAGTCTGATAGAGTATTTCAAGTCGAATACAATGACCTATTATTAAGGTCATTTAAGGTCATCCAAAGTCAACTGCAATAGAAAATAAATTGTCTCAAAGCACTCTTCGAACAAATGGATACTTTGATACTGCTACTACAAGTGTTCCAACTACCAACTACCAACTACAAGTTCGAACTACAAAATCGAGAGGTGTCAGGTCTGGGGATCGTGCCGGCCATTTGTTACTTCCTGATCGACCTGACACCTCTCAATTTTTATTTGTGGGGAAAATTAAAGGCAGAAGTGTACGGCGAATAACCAACTACCAAACTTGGCATGCAAGAACGTATAAGAAGAGCTTGCTCTGTAATAGATACAAATGAAATTTGCCAGGTAGTGTCATCACTATTGCAACGATTTAGACTATGTATCCATGTTCAAGGTCGCCATTTTGAACACTCGTAGTAGCAGTGTCAAAGTATCCAAGTGTTCGAAGAGTGCTTTGAGACAATTTATTTTCTATTGCAGTTGACTTTGGGCGACCTTGAATGACCTTAATAATAAGTCATTGTATTCACCTTGAAACATTTTATCAGAATGTAAGTAAAACAATATACTGTTCTATTTAAAAAAACAGAGTTGACCTTCATATCTCCTTGACGCCTCCACCTACAGAAAAATTGGTAGTACCAGATTATGAGCCCCCCGATACCAAGTAAGTTTGGTCTAATGCATTTTCTCCTATCTTCAAAAGCAAGCAAGTTATTCAGGTGACCTGTTTAAAATGCCCCACCCTGTATATTGTATTTATGTGGTTCCAGCAAATGGTTCGGGCTGGAGCCACGCAACGGTCCGTTGGTGCATTCCTGCCACATTGGTAAGAGTGGCAAGACAAACCAGGTAGGCTGTCCTATAGGATGACATAGGTGCTCACCGGGCATGGTTGCTTTGGTGAGTACCTGTGTTGGTGCATTCCTGCCACATTGGTAAGAGTGGCAAGACAAACCAGGTAGGCTGTCCTGTAGGATGACACAGGTGCTCACCGGGCATGGTTGCTTTGGTGAGTACCTGTGTTGGTGCATTCCTGCCACATTGGTAAGAGTGGCAAGACAAACCAGGTAGGCTGTCCTATAGGATGACACAGGTGCTCACCGGGCATGGTTGCTTTGGTGAGTACCTGTGTCGAATCGGGAAGGAGGCGACGGCGTTGCGCCACCATTGTGGAGGCCCCCAGGACACGGCGCAGAAAGATGGTGGCCAGCGAGAGAACCTGGCAAGTGGTGGCCTCCTTCTGTGAGGTGGTAATGTCGCAGAAGGAGGCCGCCGAGGGAGGGCTCGAAGGGGGGCCAGGGCGAGGTGACCTTCGCCTCTTGGCCCCCTCCACTAACCCTGAGGCCCTGAGGGACCTCCAAGAGATGGGGTGGCCCGTAAGCGTTCACCTCCAGCCACCTCGTATTCGGTGCAAGGGTGAAACGTCTATTTCATCATATCAAGAGGGCTCACAGTCGCCCTCTTTCTCGATTTTCCCGAAGTTGCGCTCACATAACGTGGCTCGTGCGGTAGCTTATGTCTGCTTTCCCTACCACTCCGTTAGGCTCTAAGGAAGTTCGTCGTTACTAGCGTCGCCGTCGATGCACTGAATTACGCCAAATCTGGCCGCATTGGCACATAGTATTTGTGCATCTCCGTCTATTCAGTGGAAAATCGGACTTTTGCAGTGTAACTTTCTCTCGCTCAGCGGCCTTCTAGATTGAATCATTTGGTCCTTGTCCTTCGTGTAGCATGAATCGTTGTCACCGGGTATATCTCGTATATACGTGCGCATTTAATTGTACATCGATTGAAAATAAATTTACGGGGTGTAAATATTTTTCAAAATAAATGTGATTTCTTATCGATGCCCAAAATGCAAGCGGTGCATTTTTCTTGGGTTCTTATTTGGTGTCTTATATCTGTGTTCCCAGGTATTTTGATTAACTTTTGGTGTAATATTCTTTTAGTACTAGAATTATATGCGTGTATTGTTATAAATTTAATTTATACATGATTTCAAGCATGTCATCGACTTCTTTGTGTTGTAGTTACTCTTGCTGAATATAATATCACATTATCCCATGATGGCCCAGTAGTCTTAGGCGGAACGATAACATTTAAAGTTGATATTTACGACGATAATGGTGAAAGACCATCGGGAACTTTTAGGTATAAATGGAGAGACAATGCAATATTCTCTTCTCATGAATATGAGGTTAGTTCTATTATTTTAAACATATGCAATAGTTCCAGAATATATTTTGTTATGTTTGTTCAAATTATCATGTAAAATTTTCAACATTTCAGTAGTATATTTATTATTTTACATTATTCATAACGACGTTAATGTTGTTCAAAAGTTGGACATATTAAGGTATATTTATGGGAAAAATTGTTACAACGAATGAAAGCATTTGTGTCGGTGTTGGTCACCAGTGACCAACGTGACTTAAACAGAAAAATTATTAGCGAATATCATTATGTACACTCAATGTGCAAAGTATAATATTTTTTCTTGTTCTTCTACAGACAGGAGATACATCAAACACAACATCGTATTGGACTGTAAGTTATCCACGTGGAAATTATAGCGTTGGAGTATATCAAGTTGAAGTAATTGTTCGCATGTGGTATATAACATGGTGGCGGTCGCTTACCAGTTCTCGCACTAGTTTTTTTGTCACCGGTAAGTTAAAAAATTTCGAGGCATTTCAATACTAATTTTTTATTTAGCATACGTTATTTTAACATTGTGTATTTTTACAGAATTCCTTAATGGCGATATCGAAATTACACAACCTAATAAGACACTGGAAAGTACTTATGTTTCATCCGCATCCGAGGCGAATATGACAATAACTTTGCGCGAAGGAGATATGGATTATTTGAAGAAAGCGACAACAACATCCATATTCTGGTTCATAGACTGCAAATATTATGGACAGACAAACGATTTAAGTTTCCCTTATAATTTTACCGATCCTGACACATCACACGTTCTGGAAGCTTTAGTAGTTGCGTCGTATGATTCTCCAACAACAACTGTTCCTCCTCCCACGACAACTGTGTCTTCTATTACAACTGTTCCATCTGTTCCAACTATAATAAATAATACTATATTAAATACAACTACAGAAGCTGTAGCGACTACTATGGCGTCTAATATTAATGTATCTATGAAATCAATATCAACGAGAACACCAACACCAGTAATTCTTAATACTACACAAAACACTAGCATTGCAGACATAAATGCCTATTTACCTTATATCTGTTCAAATTCCTCAATAATTCCTCCAGATCCTAATAAAACTTACGGGCATTTTACGAAAAGAATTAATGTTCGCGGTAAGTAATCTATCGTATAATTCGTCAATGTATGTTCGAGATAAGTTGTAATATATTTAATTTTTAAATCGTAGCACCTATAGCGAATATAATGGTAGAGGGTACGAATTGGATTCAGCCATGGGACATGCTATATCTTAATGTAACCTGTAAAGGCTCCGGGCCTTTTTACAAGTGCCTCCAGTTTCATCGAGAGAAATACAACGTTACAGGAAATGAGACGTGCGTAAATGGAATTCGCCTTCATTCTTGTAACTTTTCTATCAGACATTTTTTCCTGGAACCCAGTGTATACACAATATTAATTATAATGAATAATGATGTCAACAAGCAAATCTATCCTTTGACAATAAATATTTATAAAGGTATACGTTACTACAAATATCAACGATATTGATTTTTATTACGAAGTCAAAATGATTTCTCTCCGTTACAGTTATACATACATATTTTTTTTCTTTACAGTACTAACGAAACCACAATTGTCAGTAATTGTTGTGCCCGTTACTTGTTCACTCGCTGCTGTGGTACTCATTGTATTTGGCTTTGCTTATTACGTGCAAAGCAGAGCAAGATTTACAGTGGAAGTTGCAGATTTCGACTTCGGTCAGAATAATCCAGAGATGGAATATAAAACGTTCACAGAACGATTGCGAGGTTCATTCAATAACGCCATAAGACCAGGAAACAATCGGATAAATGTACGCCTGCCCTATTATGGCAGCATGAATCACTAACAAAGTACAGATTGTGCAAACTACATAGTCTTTCATAGCTATTCAGAATTTTCATTGCACGTTGCAAGATACCATTCATCGCAAGACAGATTACATTATCCATTCCTACTCTCTTAACATACTTATTAATACATTCTGGCTCTCTTCATTTTACTCTCATCCATTATTGTTTTCTTAATCGCTTTTTTTAATTTCACACTGTGTGGTTTTATTTTATTTATTTAGATTTTATCTATAGATATATCTGTTGTAAATAGCATGCTGCCTGCATTAAGATATATTATTTTTAGAACAATAATCTTACGAAAGTAATTAATATTTTATAAATTATTTTTCAGGGTTACAAACATATTAGTAATCCTGAAACTCTTCAATGATTTTCAGAGTGAAAGGAAATAAAATTATTGATTAAACATTTTAAGAGTTACAGAGGGCAATGCGAAACGGTTGAGACAAGAACTAAATAAAATAAGTTACAAGATGGTTCACTTAATTATATCTTACAGTATTTTTAGGTACCAAATAATTGAAAAATTAATACGATCATATAACTACTTGTATGATTATTTTAAACATTTAACGAATAAATCAAGATTGTACATAACATGTAAAGATAACACTAAAACACAAACGAACACACACATGTATAGGCTGTGAATACAATATACAAAAAAAATATATTAATGTCGTTCTTCATATTTTGGGAATGCGAAATGTAGATGTTCTCTTTTGAAATTCCAACTCTTCAATATCGAAGTTATACACTTTGTACTTTTAGTATGTTCAATTTTTCGTAATTGTATTTACAAATCATTTAATTATCATATAAAATAAGTATCGATATATATCATACATAGATTATAAATTTAATAAATTTAGTCAAATAGGAAAGCATGTAAACGTTTATACGTGTAATAGAGTGAAACAATTCGCTATATGTACGCACGTAACGTACACACTTATATAAGTATATATATATATATATATAGTATGTATACATACAAATAAAGATTCTTTAGTAACATTTGATATAAACTTAATAAAACATATTGCGAAGATCGAACAATTAGATTTTGTGATCTAAAAAATTTTAGTTATAAAGTAATTTGTTAAATAATATTTAACGAATAGAAATGTTCGGTGGCCTTTTTATCTTTTATTAATTTCTTATCGTTGTAATTTTAACAAAATTTTAATTAATATACATATTAGGTGGTACCATCTGGATACTATTATTACACCAAATGATCTTTATCCACGCGTTGGTGAAGAGTTTGCTATTGGTAACGTCGTCAGAGATGTAAGATGGCGGCCGATGAAGTAAACTTACGAAACTGTGCTCTGTTAAAGTATATTTGTGCATTTGTCGGGTATTGAATATTGTCAGTCGATAGTTAAAATTAACATTTATTTCCTACTGGTCCGGGATCGTTCGGAATTGAAGTGTGTCTTTCGTGATATCGTGGTAGAAACTTTTCCCGAGTCGCTAGCTTACAATGTCAGTAACTGCCTCAAAGCCATGCCACGAGGAAGAGAATTCAAGATTGACAGAGGAGGATGATTGGAAAATGCAACTTGCGTTTTGCAAACCACGGCATACGGCAACGATCGAGGGTGTAAACTGCATTACACAAACATGGAGACTGAAAGAACGGGTTTGTTTTTTCGTTTCGTTGGCGATCGGATTTTGAAAAATTACGTATTTGATTCTGTACGATGATTTTCTAAATTAATATTTTTTTTTAGATGAAAACTGTGAGCGTGGCTTTAGTTTTGTGTTTAAACGTTGGTGTCGATCCACCGGATATTGTCAAGACACAACCGTGCGCTCGTCTCGAATGTTGGATCGGTATTTATTCTGGTTTATTTACACCCTCGCAATTCCCGCTGCCATTGTCATTATGTAATGCAATTTTGAGGTTATACATGTGTATGACAACAGTTTCTAAATAAATGCCATCTCGCTAGATAACTACCAGATGGCGCTAAATTTACCAACTAATTTAAATATCATTACTTTTTTTTTCTTTATTCGTCGTTGTCTAACGTCACACAGTGTCTTTTGCAATCTCAATTTTTGTAGTTCACAAAATGTAATCGAAGATTATTAAATTTCAATTGTTTATTATGGTAAATGTATTTTGTCAAAATTAAAATAGCCTTTCTTAATTTTACAGATCCTTTATCGGTGAGCCCGTTAAAGGCTTTGGACACTATAGGTTCGAATTTACAAAAACAATACGAACGATGGCAGCCAAGAGCTCGTTATAAACAGAGCTTAGATCCTTCGGTCGAAGAAGTGAAAAAGTTATGTACTTCCTTGAGGCGAAATGCAAAAGAGGAAAGAGTTCTATTTCATTACAATGGGCATGGTGTTCCTAAACCCACTAGTAACGGTGAAATATGGGTATTTAATAGGGTCAGTTAAATTAAAAAATTTTCTTAATTAGTAGTTCGATCGGGATATTTTTAACGTAACGTTCTTGTTTCCAGACATATACACAATACATTCCTTTGTCTGTATACGATTTACAGACATGGATGGGTGCTCCGAGCATCTACGTATATGATTGTTCTAGCGCAGGTATAATCGTAGAGTCGTTTCAACAATTTGCAGAACAACACGAGAAGGAATACGAGGTTCTAAACTTCTACTTTATGCTTCGATTAAAAGTTACGTTTGTATATATCGTAAATGTTGTTTCGCAGATGGAAAAGCAGGCGGTTCAGCAGAACCGGGCCACTGGAGTCACAGGCACTACGGTGCCGTCTTACAAAAATTGTATTCAGCTGGCAGCATGCGCAGCTAATCAGATTTTACCTATGAATCCAGATTTACCAGCAGATATATTCACATCATGCCTTACAACCCCAATAAAAATAGCATTGCGATGGTGAGAAAGAAAAGCAAGAGGCATCGAGATTAATATATTCTTTCATACGGGATTAATTTTTCTCCATTTTTTGTACAGGTTTATAATGCAAAATACATCGAAATTGGTACCAAAAATATCATTAGACTTAATTGATAAGTAAGCGTACTTTATACAGTTGTAACGAATGCGCATTAAATATTTTGTTTTATAAAACGATCCAATTATGTAAATTTCAGAATTCCAGGACAATTGGCTGATAGAAGGACGATGTTGGGAGAACTTAATTGGATATTTACAGCGATCACTGATACAATAGCTTGGAACACTTTCCCAAGAGGTATAATAGCGTTTAATTATTTTTAGTACATGATAAAAGACTATGTATAATATAAATATAATTATTTTGTAGATTTATTCCAGAGATTATTTAGACAAGATTTATTAGTTGCTAGTTTGTTTAGAAATTTTTTACTTGCCGAAAGAATACTTAGATCGTACGATTGTACTCCGGTTTCTTGCCCGAAGCTACCACCCACTTATCAGGTGAATATTACCGTGTAATGGTTTCTAACCTCTTGCACTATTTTCGTGAGACTCGCGATGAAAATTTTATGCTAAACTTGAATATCACGAGTCAGGCTCATTGTTCAATCTTACGTAAAATGTGAATAACACGAGTAAATATCGATATTCCGTCGATCGACATATCGTGTTTCGAGTTTCGATCATTCGAGCGTGTAAGTTAGGGATGACTTCTTCTAAATTTCAGAGTAGTGCAAGGGGTTAATGAGTCATCTAATTTGCATAATTATGATTACTATATGATTAACCTATTCATTTTTTTTTCTCTATGAATTTAGCATCCTATGTGGCAAGCATGGGACTTGGCACTCGATCTCTGTTTAGCGCAATTACCATCCATTCTTGAGAATAAAGATCAATTTGTCCACTCCCCTTTTTTCGAGGAGCAACTCACAGCCTTTCAAGTATGGCTCACTCTAGGTTCTAAAAACCGTAGTCCTCCGGAACAGTTGCCAATAGTGCTCCAAGTCTTGTTAAGTCAAGTTCATAGGCTGAGAGCACTGGAATTGTTGGGACGTTTTCTTGATCTTGGTCCCTGGGCTGTGAACTTGGCTCTTAGCGTAGGCATTTTCCCATACGTTTTGAAGTTACTTCAAAGCAATGCTAGGGAATTACGTCCATTGCTCGTTTTTATTTGGGCAAAAATTCTTGCAGTGGACAGCGTAAGTCTTAATACTGGATGTTTAAAAGTATACAAAATTTTATTTTTCATCCTATTCAACGAACTGTGGTAATCTTGTTCGCATTTCGATTGCAGACTTGTCAAACAGATCTTGTACGAGACGGCGGGCACAAGTACTTTCTGTCTGTCCTTCAGGATACTTCAGTGCCGGTATTGTTATATTTAATTCTAAACGGTCGAGCATCTTTGAAAGTTCAAGTCTTTTACATGATTTTCTATTATTGTGTGCCAGAGCGAATATAGGACATTGGCAGCATTTGTTTTGGCCAGTATTGTAAATGACTATCGACAGGGTCAAGTAGCTGCTAATCATGGTAGCCTTGTTTCGATCTGCTTGGAGCAACTCGGCGACTCGAACCCTCTGTTGCGTCAGTGGTTGTGTTTGTGTCTTGCAAGACTTTGGCACAATTATGATAAAGCAAGGTGGTGCGGTGTTCGAGACATCGCCCACGAGAAGCTGTTTACATTGCTGCTGGATTCAGTTCCTGAGGTATGAAACATATGCAATTTACTCGTATGATTTATTGACATTTACATTAAACGATAATAATACATCACATAATTGCATAGGTTCGAGCAGCTAGCGTTTATGCTTTGGGTACATTTATAAATAGTGTAACTACACGAAGCGAACATGCAAATAATATCGATCAAATTATTGCTATAACACTCATTAATACAGTCTCTCATGATATGTGCCCTTTAGTTAGAAAAGTATGTAAGTCCGTTATATGATATAATGCAGTATCGTCTTCGTTATAGATTCGAACATTTTAATTTGAAGATACTATGAATTGTTTTGCAGGAATTAGTAGTAGCACTTCAATGGATGGTTTTACACTTTGAAAATTCCTTTGTAACATTAGCTTTAGCCGAGGAGAACAGTCGGAAAGACCTTGTTGTGGAAACATTGTCGCCATTTAGTGGATTGAGACGCATTAGTTCTAGGGATAGATTAAAAATGCTTTCTCCTAATAATACATACAGCGTAGACAGTACGGATGGATTTGGCCAGGATCGTATTAAGAGGGTGTCGTCGTCGTCGTCTATTAGTAGTCTAGGTAAGTAATAAAACACGTCGCGCCTAGCTAGAGTTACTAGCGTTAATGTCGGATTTTTCGATAACAATTCCTTATATTGTTTCATTCATGTACCAGGAAATAATTGGGAGTTCGTGAGGAAACCTTGCGAGTCACTTGGTAATAATGATTGGAAATTCCATTGCATGTTCGTACATAGTCCATCCTTCATTTTTAGATTTTGTAATTTTTTATTTTTAGCTAACTTCACTATCTTATTATCTAGTAGCGTAATATTGTAAAGTTCAGATATTTTTTACGTTTAATATAAATGTAATGAATTGCGATTTATTGGTTGTAGGACACAGTTCTCTCGGGAATTTGCCAAGTCTTTCCTATGGTAGCGTGTATATGAAACTGTGGCATGGATTATGCAGCCTTGATAATGATCCTCATCCTGCAGTCTCGTCGATGTCCCAGAAGGTCACCAATCATATTCGAAATCAGGTAAATACGATGCTCTGATAATATACATGGGAGATACTAGAGGCGAAAATAAGACGAAAATCAAGAATATCAATTTTTTTACTGAAACTTCATTAAAAAGTTAACAATTAAATTAAAAAGTTTCAAATCGTTCTGGAAAAATTATTTTAAGTTGTGAGGCTCAATTACAATCATTTTTGGTCAATACAGATACCTCCAAAATCCTACCCATTTTCGAGAAAAAAATTGGAGGTGTGAAATTTTTCGGTAGAAAAAAAAAATTTCAAATCGTTTTGGAAAAATTATTTTCAGTTGCAGGGGTCAATTACAATCATTTTTTATCATTACCCATACCTCCGAAATCTTATCCACTTTCTAGAAAAAAATTCGAGAAGTTGTGAAATTTTTCGACGGGGAAAAAAAAATTTCAAATCGTTTTGGAAAAATTATTTTCGGTTGCGGATGTCAATTACCATAATTTTTGGTCATTACCCATACCTCCGAAATCTTACCCACTTTCTAGAAAAAAATTCGAGATGTGAAATTTTTCGACGGAAAAAAAAAATTTCAAATCGTTTTGGAAAAATTATTCTTAGTTGCGGAGGTCAATTAGAATCATTTTTGGTCATTACACATACCCCGAAATCCTACGCATTTTCGAGAAAAAAATTCCTTACCGAAAATCTAATTAGTCGCCAAAATTTTTTGACAAAATTAAAAAATTTCAAATCGTTTTGGAAAAATTATTTTCGGTTGCGGGGGTCAATTACAATCATTTTTGGTGAATAGACATACCCCCGAAATCCTGCGCATTTTCGAGAAAAAAATTCAAAACAGGCGGAACTTTAAATGTTAATAATTTTTTAACGAAGCCTCCATCAACAAATTAAAATTCTTGATTTTCGTCTTATTTTGGCCTCTAGAATCTCCCATTAAATTATGTTGCTTTGTGTTAAAGGTTTCTATAAAATCGTAATGTTATATTTCTATTACAGGTTAAAGAATCTTCTATGCCTAAAGAAGGGATTGAAACGAAAATATCCTCATCGTTATCACTTCCGCCATCTCCCTCGAATCGTACAACTTACTTAAGGTCAGTTGATCTTCAGTTAATTTAGTGCGATACTTCAGATTTTTACTTGATTTCTATGTATTTAATAAAGCACTAGCAAAGGGGAATCACCACCTACGATAAGTTCTGGCACAGATTTGTTGCGTTCCTCGAGAGTACAGCCACATAGCAATCGTTCTAGGAAACCAATTCCTAACACGGTAAGAATGATCATTCAAAAACAGTACAACGTATCATTTCGTTTATATTTACCAGCGTTTTATTCATATTTGATTGCAGATATCGGAGGAAGCGGATGAAGTTGCCGGGATCAAAACGCCATTAACGACTTCGCAGTTTGTCGAATGGAGTTGTGCTCAATTTGCCCAGCCAGTTAGTTTAGAAAGTGAAACTGAATCGATGAGCGATATGGAAAGCAGAGCTCATTACGAAAGGGAATGGCGGTAAGCACATTGATAGCGTAACAAGATCCTCCATTGAAATTTCATATTTAATGAGAAAGATTGTAATACCGAATGTTCAGCTACCTAAGAAACAGACGACAAAGACGCGAGGCGAGGGAGGAACAGCTGCGAGCAGTACAAAGTAGAGTAGAATCGCAAGTATTCCATGCAAGGTGTCCACATTCCCCGGAAGTTTTAACATTTCATCCGTTCGAACCACATTTGGCTGTAGCGTTAAAAGATTTCTTTGGGTATTTAAGTTTCTACATAATATGCTAACTGTCCCATAAAATGAATCTGCACTTAATATCATCGTTTATCCACAGAGTATGGGATTGCCAAACCGGTGCAAAGTTAACTTATTGCGCAAGTCGTGGGAATAAAATGTCACGCATCACAGCTCTCGAGTTCATCAATGCTCACGATGTAACATTGTTGATGACTGGATCAGACGATGGTTCGGTCAGAGTGTGGAAGAATTACAGTAGCACGCTGAGCCGTGATCCAATTTTACTTACCGCGTGGCAGGCACTGGCTGACATACAGCCAGCGACGAAAACAACGACCGGTGCTTATATATATTTTGTCAAGCAAACAATTATTATTCGTAACTATGTATGTTAATTAAAATTCTTTGTAGCAACAGCTGGATTAGTTACTAAATGGGAGCAAAAGTCCCTTACTCTAGCTGTCACAGGTGATGTTCGTATTGTCAGGCTCTGGGACGCAGAGACCGAGTTAAAGAAACAAGATATACCGACAGGTGCTGATTGTTGTGCTACTTGTATTGATGTTGATGGCGTAGGTTAGTTGTTTTATTATTTATACACGTATTTCGTTAATTTAATTTCTACGTTCATTAAATTTAAATTCATTATATCTCACGATCGTAAATTCAAGTGCAAAAGTATTCGTTTTATTCCGTACTGTTGGTTACAAGTTCGAAAGGAACACATGGTTGGTCAAACAGTGGTTAAATACAAAGTATTTTCCCATTCTATTTAATTATTTATATTGTACCAAAATTATGCATATTTATGTTGTTCGATAATGAAAAATAAGAATGTTTAACACGTGTTCATTAAGGGTGTGTGAGAACTCGAAAATATCGGGTTGGTTTAGGATGAGAATGTTCCTCAGGATCGGGTCCTGAGAGATTCTCGAAAGTTATGGGGTTCCTGAAAGTTCTGGAATTTTCAAGGGTATCAGAGTTCCCGAAAAGAAGAAATTTTAATTATTTTTGGGAACCCCGACACTTTCGAGAACATTATCGGGAATCTTGACGTTTTCGGGTTCTCGCAGACCTCTAGTGTTCATGGCAACAAAACCTCTTATAATTTCGTACGTATTGATTGCAGTCCATAAAGTCATCTATAAATTCATATAAAAAACTATATAATTTATTAAAATTTGTAGGAATATGATATGATACGGATAAATGTTGTGTTTGAACGTGTGTACAGGTGCAATGATGGCAGTAGGTTGCGGTGATGGTTCTGTTCGCCTATTCGATAGAAGATTGCCGCCATTGGAATCGAGAGTCATGATTTGGCGGGAGCATACAGCATGGGTGTTGGACACATCTTTGAGAAAATCTGACAGATCGACGCCACAGCTGTTTACTGGATCGTCATCGGGAGATATTAGAATATTCGATCTTAGAAAAAATTCTTCCGTGAGCACTGTACAAATAACACAAGGTATTACAGCGTTGGCATCCCACGAGGTGGCTGATATTTTCGCTTGGTAAGTTTGCATACATTCCATTAATTAATTTCATCACTTTGTCCTGCTTTTACGAACTTGAACACTTGTGAAAACTATTTTATACTATCAACCCTTAACACCCCGACTTTTAATCGTGAATATCGCCCCGGCAACCCCAACTTATTTTCATCATATTTCGACTTGCAAGTTTTTAAGCGTCAAATTTTAAATGCTACAATTGACGTGTAAATAATAATTTTAAAGTCATTCAAAACAGTCTTTATTCTTCTCAAAAGTAATATAATTTTGATTACAGTATTTATATTGATTATAATCGAATAGGTGTAGAAATCTTTCGACGGAAAAAAAAAATTTCAAATCGTTCTAAAAAAATTATTTTCGGCTGCGGGGGTCAATTACAATAATTTTTGGTCATTACACATACCACCGAAATCCTACGCACTTTCGAGAAAAAAATTCCTTATTAAAAATCTAATTTGGTGCCTGAATTTCTCGACGAAAAAAACAAAAATTTCAAATCGTTCTGGAAAAATTATCTTCGGTCGCGGGGGTCAATTACAATCATTTTTGGTGAATAGACATACCCCCGAAATCTTGAGCATTTTCGAGAAAAAAATTCGAGAAGGTGTGAAATTTTTCGACGGGAAAAAAAAATTTCAAATCGTTTTGGAAAAATTATTTTCGGTCGCGGGTGTCAATTACAATCATTTTTGGTGAGTAGACATACTCCCGAATTCCTGCGCAGTTTCGAGAAAAAAATTCGAGTAATTGCTGAGATTTTCGTAAAAATTAAAAAATTTCAAATCGTTCTGGAAAAATTATTTTCGGTTAAAGGGGTCAATTACAATCATTTTCGGTGATTAGACCTACCCCCGAAATACTGCGCAGTTTCGAGAAAAAAATTCGAGTAAATGCTGAGATTTTCGAAAAAATTAGAAAATTTCAAATCGTTCTGGAAAAATTATTTTTCGGTTAAAGGGGTCAATTACAATCATTTTCGGTGATTAGACCTACCCTCGAAATCTTGCGCATTTTCGAGATAAAAATTCAATACTGGCAGAACTTTAAATGTTAATAACTTTTTAACGAAGCCTCCATCAACAAATTGTTATTCTTGATTTTCGTCTTATTTTGGCCTCTAGAATCCCCCATTAAAATTTTTCCCACGGTTGACCGGAACCCTGTCTATTGAAAATTAAAGGAAAATGGTAGAAAATGACCATTTTCCATTACCCACCTTTTTTCCGCGTCTTTTACCCCCTTTATCAATTATAAACTTTCTAAATTTTTTAAATTAAAAATCTGATGTTTTTCTTAATTTAATTGATTAAGAAAGAATCCTTGTTATAATTTTATTGTATATTTTTACGTAGTAGTATGTACCTATATTTATTATTATTCACTGGTTATTTTATATTTTTCAGCGGGTCTACAAATCACTGTATAAGCCTTTATAACACAATGGGCCAACATTTAAACACGATAAAATTTCACGAAGGATTTATGGCTACACGTATCAGTCCTGTGAGTTGTCTAAGTTTTCATCCTTATCGTGTATTTCTAGCTGCTGGATGCGTAGACAATACCATAACGGCGTACGCGTCCGAGTCACGGAGATGACTAATAGAAATGGAATTGTTGTAAAATTATTTTCATAAATACTTACACATCCATCGTACTTGATACCCTTAGCGTGTTAGTCAATAAGAAAAAAAAAAAAAAAAGAGCTAAGGACGAGACGTTGGAGTTTATCTCAAGGTCAGAAAATTAATTCCTACTTTTCGATAATTTATGTTCTTCTACTGCGTTTCGCGTTATATAGATTAATTCCCCCGACAATTAGTTCGTCTGAAGATATTAATTGTAGCTTTTGTGATCAAGACATTTGTGAATAGATTAATCGAAGTCCCTCGAGATGACTACTGAAAAATCTCGATAATTCTACACCAGTGTATCAGCATCGAGCAAAATTTCATCTGATTGCATTTGTCACAATTACGTTCCACAAAATATTTATATTATAATCACGCTATAATCACGTTATAATTGCAATGTAATTACTGTGCAGTGACTTTGTAAAAGTAATCATGGCAAATGTAATCAGATTACAATTTACTCTATGCTGCTCTGCACGTTGGAGTGATACATGATTTCTTTTTAACGCAGTTGAGATTTGGTATTTTTAAAAATAATTATGCATAATATATGCAGATGTGATGCAACGAAAAAGATACGAATGTACGTATGAATGTGTTTAATATTTAATAAAGCTTGTAACATACGCAATGAAGACGACTGTGCCATGTAAAATTGGTATCAAGCAGATCGGAGGACAATTCGCATAATTTTTGTCTTATCTCTGGCAATAAAGAATTCAATGTTCTTTACACGTATCGATCTTTCTTTGAGCAACTGTTTTATTCGTCAATAATTAAAATTCTGATAGAATTAAAAAGGTGTCGATAAATATTTTGTCATAATCAGTACGATGTAATACGATTAAGAAAACAGGATATAAGGGAAACGTATTTAAATAATTTAAATATATTATTTTAGTTAATGACTTGGTGCAATAAATCGTGACAGATTGATAGCAGTGAAAAGTCTAAATAAGTAACTCTAAAGAAGGTAATTACAGTAAATCCATTGCTGCTATATTAACGAACAATTTGTTTAACAAAACAGTCCGCCTGTTTCTATTTTTAATTCTCATTCTCATTGAATTTTTCGTTGCAAATTTTAAACGAACTTCTGTAATTGTTAAATATAGGTTTACGCGTGGTGGAGTCTTTGATTAAATAGTATTAACGTTATTTTTAAGTAATAATACTTTGTACATTGTTAATCGCAAACTGTGAATATATTTTTGTCGTATTAAAACGCGAAAGTTTGATAGAAAATGTCTTCTAAATGACGAATGATTTAAAGAAATTATTAAACGCCGTTCGTAATTCGTATTCAACTGTTCGGTTGCTGTTTCATTCGGAGGGTATTTTAGGAAATAATACCTGTATGTCGTATGTGTATATTGCTACTGTGAACCGTTTATCGCTATTACGATTGTTTTAAAATGAAAATCAACACGTCGATATATACGAACATAATGCAATCAGACTTATATACACTGATAACACGAATATAAACTGGATCGCGTAAGTAACTAATAAAAAAAAAAAATTATGTAATTGATTGAAATACGAACGTGTAAATATAATATGCGTATAAAATGTTTCGATGCGATGTTAGAGAAACCACTATCTGCGGATAAATTTATCTCTTCATTATTATACAATAGCTTTGTTGTTGACGCTCGCGTTGGGAGACACGATAAAAGACGTAGATCACTGTGACACTCTGAAAGGGTGAAATAAAAATTCCTCGATTCGGACGTGTCTAGAAGATGTTCCAAGATTTTCAGTTTAACGATAATAAGATATAAGTAAAGAATTCTATAAAATACAAGTCGAATGTATCGTAAATATTTATTTGAACGCTGAAACAAAGAATTATTGCTCACGTACGCGGAAGCTTGCATGTAAGTTGAATAACGTTTTCTGAAAATGAAATTGATAGACCATTTACGCTGTTGCTTTTCTATCGTACGTTTTAAGTTTCACGATGTACTTTCAGGCACTTTATATGTATGGTTTGATGCTAATTTTAATATATGTGCCGGATGTACTTAACGTTAAAATCAGCATTAATTGTAAAAACACGAATACCTATAACTATTTCTGTATATATTATATACAGCAAATGTCGTCGGTGCTGTTGTTAAAAGTAATTATTGGGAACGTCGAGTGTTAGAAAGCAATTTGAGAGGGGCAAATTTTATGTATTTTGCACTGTACTCGTCATTGTATATGAACGTCTGATAATAAATACGATATAACCATGTTACTCGAGCGTAAATCGTAACTGGCCTTTAATAGTTCAACTTTATGTTATTTTCTTTCGTGTGGATGGCGAGGGACATTAAACCGGGCCTTATTTATCGTCCCCCCCCACCACAATGGATACCGTTTGGACGAAGTGCCCGCTAGCAGTGATGGACATGCGTGGGAATTTTGGTCATGCGCACTGGAGCGCACGATCACTGCCGTATACACTTAACTAGAATTTAAGGTACCGTTGGATCGCAGTAAGGAACAAAATTTAAGGAAGTTACAGAGAAAGAGACAAAAACAAAAAATTTTCTCTTAATCTACATGAGTATAGCTAGAGAAATACGTAGGGGATTTTCGATAAGTTTATTTTTGTGTAATTCGCGAGCATTTGAAGTAGAAAGTTCAATTTTGTACGAAACATGGGAATTCCCAACATGCACCTCTTTTGGCGCTAAAGATACATCTATGGTAGTGGACGGACAGGTAGCTGTGACGTCAGCTTGCACATGCGCAGAATGGAATTCCACGAGGGATGTATATCATTTCAGGTATCACTTCTGATATGTCTGGCAAAGTGTAACCATTACTGCTGGCTACTGCCAGCCTCTCGCAGCCTCTGCTGGTTTCTGCTAGCCTCTGCTAACCTCTGCCAACATGTGCGGGCTTCTGCCTGCCTCTGCTGGCCCCTACTGACCACACCTGATACTTCCGACAACGTATAACGATTACTACTGGTTACTGCCAGCCTCTCCCACCCTCTGTTGCCCTCTCCTGACCTCCGCTTATATTTCTGACGACGTATAACAATTACGACTGACTTCTGCCAACCTCCGCTGGCCTCCGCTGACCACTGCTGACCATCCCTGATGCTTCCGACAACGTATAACGATTACTACTTGTTACTGCCTGCCCCTGCTGGTCTCTGCTTGCCTCTGCTGTCCCCTGCTGTCCCCTGCTGACCACTGCTGACCACCACCGATGCTTCCGACAACGTGTGACGATTACTACATGTTACTGCTTGCCCCTTCTGGCTTCTGCTGACCCCTGCTGGCCTCTGCTGTCCCCTGCTGACCACTCATGACCACTGCTGACCAGTATGGCAATAAATGATATAATTACAAAGAATTCTATGTGTTCTCATCATTTTTTACCTTTCTTTTCCTCTCCAAATCATTACCTTAGTTATAAGACTCCCTGAAACTCCTTGGTTTCCCTGAACCCACTAGGAAGTCCTGAAACACCTCGGAAGTCCTGAAACTCAGAACTTTGGTAAAAATTCTGGGTTTCCAAGAATTTTCGGCGTTTCCAAGAAATTCCAGGACTTTCCAGTTGTTTCAGGACTTTCCAGCTGGTTCGGGGCTTCCAAAATTCCAAGGAGTTTCAGGGCTTTCCAGTGGTTTCAGGACTTTCCAATTGTTTCAGGGGTTCCAAAATTTCAAGTAGTTTCAGGACTTCCCAGTTGTTTCAGGACTTCCCAGTTGTTTCAGGGCTTCCCAGTTGTTTCAGAGCTTTCCAGCTGTTTCAGGACTTTCCAGTTGTTTCAGGGGATCCAAAATTCAAGTAGTTTCAGGACTCCCCAGTTGTTTCAGGACTTTCCAGCTGTTTCAGGACTTTCCAGTTGTTTGTCGCTATGGCAGTCAGATTGGGCCACGAAAGTCCATAGGGTGAAAGCACAGACGAGGTATACGAATAGATCCAATGTACTTTTTCGACCCATTTTTCTGAGGCTCTAGAGCCCCATACCATTTTCGTGTCACTCGCAACATTACCAACAGATTTAGAAATGAATTTCAATCCCTTCCCAGATCTAACCCATGCCTCGACTGTGCTGGTATCATGAGAAAACTATCCCTCCCTTCCCCACTTATGTACGAAAGATTGCACTGGCATCTACAACAGAACGTCCAAGTTGGTCGAGAAATAGTTCGTTGTATTCGACGCCAGATGACGACCCCAATCACATCGGACCGACGAATATTTTGCAACGTCTATATTCCGCTATTACTCATTTTTATGGATGGTAAATGTCTAACACGGTTTATAACAATACAATAAACTTTATTCGATATTTAATAACAAGACGTGGTTCTTTGCTTGGAATCTTTGTAACGAAGAGCGGTTACCGTGGAAAATAAAAAAGATTTTTCTAAATGTCGCTTGCTGTCCATTATAGTTTAATTTTTCTTATAAGTACATTTTTTTCTTAGTATAAATGATTTAAAAAAATTAATTTTACCCCTCAATGGTTATCTAGTACAGATAGCGTAAATAAAAGAATTGAAAGACCATAGTTGCCTTAGCGTAGGTTTTTAAGATTCTAATATAATTGTTTCCAATTAACTTCGGTGTTGTACACGCAGCAACTGGTTAATGCGAACAGGGAATGCGATATCGACGCCATTCTTGTTAAATCACGTTCGCTGATTGCCCGGACAGAGGGCGTCGGAATGAAGAAAAAATGCGAGGAACAAGAGAAAGCAAGAATGTTAGCAATCTTTATCGGCCCAAAGGCACGCGTAACAAGTAACCACACGGTTACACGAAAGTTGATTGGCAAACAATCGTTAGAGCCGATCGACTGGTTCTGGTTCGGCGTTAAAGTCTCCGGCGTCGGTTTGTTTTATATTATAGAGACAGCCTTTAAATCCGTAAAGCCGTCTGTCGGATACACCGACGCGATTATGTATGGCGAAGAAAGTGAAACGCATTGGAAATCTAACCTAAGAAGGTGAACAAAACGCATGCCCCATTAGTCATTAGCAATAGGCGCCAACGTGGCATTAGAAAACGATATTAGGAATGGTTACTAGGAAACAAGACGGAGAAAAACGTAATTTTACCAACAGATTTTAAATCAGTATTTCGATAACAATGGACTAATATATTCTCGAAAGATTCCATCGAACGCTATCAACAATCGAAATACACTTTTCCATATTTTCATGTACGACAGTGTTACGAGTAACAACGATTTATAACTTATCGTGTTTGACAAATCGCTTTGCTCGCAATGAAAATTAATATGCTGTGGGAAAGCAATAGGAGCCGATGAAAGCAATACGCCGCGGGACTGGTATCATTAGCGAAAATTTCATAATTACTCGTTGCCGACGTTCATTCTCGAGAATTAAATGTCGTCTAAGTGCTTCAAACGCTTTATTAGCCTCGCGTATTTATTGTTTCGACGTTCATTTCGCAATTCGGAAATTGTCTTTTATTTACGCAATTACTATTCCAGAGTTTCGTAAAACAAAGCAAAGGTGACACGAATCAAAAAAGGTTCCAGAAACAAATTTTGTATTTAGACTCGTTAAAAATTAATTTGAACAAATTAATTAATTTGTTTCTTAGTTCGAATCACAGTGAGATTATGGTCAAAATTCAGGATGCAGTGCCTGCGACTATCAGGCATACGTCTCTAACATAACCTCAAAATTTAAGCAGGAATATTAATTGTATTCAGATTCGATAAAAATAAATTTGAAGACGAGAGCTTATTTCTTTATTTCTTATTTCGAAGCAAAGTGAGGTTATGGTCGAAATTCAGGATACAGCGCCAGCGACTCTAACATAACCTTATAATTTAAGCAGGAATATTAATTGTATTTAGATTCGATAAAAATAAATTTGAAGACGAGAGGTTATTTCGTTATTTTTTAGATCGAAGCAAAGTGAGGTTATGGTCGAAATTCAGGATACAGCGCCTGCGACTTTCGTGCGTACAACGCTAACATAACCCCATAATTTAAGCAGTAATATTAATGGTCTCGAATTTACAAGCCGATCTGACGAAGAAAACGAAAAAAGAAAAGAAATCGAACCGATGTAATTCATTTTTACTTGTCCATTATACCAGGCGAAATTCGTTTGATATTAATTAAGGCCGGGCGCAAAATGGCTGGTGTGGCGGAGAAGTGAAACGTCGGAAGTGGACAGCCTTGTTCTGTCACGAGCGTCCGAATAAAAGCGAAAAGGAAATGAAATACGTTCGTTGTAAAAAGGCAACCGTGGCGCGTATTAAGCCGTGTGTGACATAATGATGACATGTACGTCTTCGACGCTAATCACACCGAGCAAGACGGGACACGGGCTCGAAGGGCTATTAGAACCCAGTCAACGTGCAACGACGTTCACATATTCGCCAACGGAGTACTCGTTTCAGAAAAGTCGAACAAATCTCCGCGAGTTTCCCGGACCTCGTTATTTTCCTCGATCGGGGAGAAATAAGTGCGTGATCGAAAGTCGTGTCTCGCGAACGTGCCTTGTTTTTTTGTAAATCTCGCGATTCGAAAACACACCGTTACGTCATTTCCATAATATTAACATTTTTCGAGCGACCAGTCGCGAAAAATATAATCGAAACGTTTCGTAATTCATTTTACTCAAAGGTTCGAGTCAGGTTAGGTTAGGTTAGAAAATACTCGAAGAAACGAAAGAAATTTTTAAATTTCAAAATCACACCGTCGAACAATCTTTTTAACGTTCACGAGAATGCACTTTTCTTCCGTGTGTTTTGATATTTGTAAAAATAGATTAATCGCGGAATATATTACGCTAATTTCGCGCGGATATTGCGATCACGATAACGATTTATTCGACGTGTTTCCGAGAGTTAACACGATTCCTAAATCATACCGTATGTTTTCTTAAATAGTAACCGCTCGATCATAAACCTCCATCGTTTCTCTTAATAACGAAGACTGGTTTTGCTTCCTCTGCAACCACGCGCGTATAGAAAACACGATTCAGGGCATAAAATCTGTATTATGGTTTCGTGAAAGTTGCAGGGGAGTGCGAAAAGGAGATCTATTATTGTCCTGCCTACTGTTCATGAAATAAACATATGTTATTTAATTGTCGTTGACGCAGGCCGTTGCGTTCGTTTTCTTCTTCTTATTATATCGGATGTTGGAAAATTCTATGCTCGATCACA